AAGAGAGCCGACCAGACACAGGTACGGCGATATCGTTCCTTACGCCTAGAGTCAAGGAACCAGATAGCCAGATTGGGATAAACTAGTACACCTCATGCAGTACATTAGATGTACTAGAAACTACCATTAGTTCTCAAGCCGACGGAAGTGGCATATTAAAATGGTATGTTGATGGTTCTTTCGCAGTCCATCCAAACATGAGGGGTCATACCGGGGTGGTTTGACCATGGGCACCGGTTCCCATTATCGACTTCGACGAACAGAAGTTGAACACGAGAACTCAACTGAGAGTGAACTGTAGCAGTTGATGACCTGATGCCATCGATCCTTTGGACGAGGCAGTTCCTTCGGAGCAAGGCTATGTAGTTAAGAAACTATAGTCTATCAGGACAACAGAGTGCCATTCTTCTAGAGAAGAACGGCAAGCTTCTAGTAGTAAACGAACGAAGCAATCAACATTAGGTACTTCTTGTGAGCGACAGAGTCGAAAGAAGGAGATCAGTGTGGACTGGTGTCCAACTGATGATATGGTTGCGGACTTCCCTTCTGGACGAAGCCGAACCAAGGTCGACTGTTCAAACAGAACGTGGACAAGTTGATGGGTGTTGTGGAACACTCAGAGCCAGGGCACTCAGAAGGAGGGTCACGGTCGGACAAGAAGGTCCCTTCAAAGAAGGAGCGCTAAGCGCAGTAAGTAAGTAAGCATGGTCGACGACTAGGACAAGCTCGACGACCACAGGAGTGTGTTGGGGATTCGCGATTAGGGATTGAACCTGTACCTCTGTACTAGAATTTCATGCCAGTAGAAATAGCATGGAAACAGAGCCCACCCACTTTTTCAATAGTATCTCAATAGCAACAGTAACTACTAGAAGAGAGCTTAGAGCAACTAACAGGGTACATAGCAACTCAAAAGGACACCGTTTCTCTCATGACGTACTTTGACGTGCCAAAAGGAGAAGATGACATCCGATTGGTCTATGACGGGACCAAATGCCAACTGAATGCTTCAGTCTGGATTCCGTCTTTCTTCTTGCCCACGGTTGAAACACATCTCAGGGCGGTCGAAGATGGCACATACATGTGCGATGTTGATATCGGAGAGATGTTCCTGAATTTCATGATGCACCCTAGACTGAGAAAGTATTGCGGAGTAGACCTTTCCCCATATGACCTGCGAATACCCGCTGATTCGCACTATCAAGCCAGAGCAACCAGCAAAGTCATCTTGGCATGGAATCGGATTGCTATGGGTCTCACGTGGTCCCCATATCAAGCCTGCTTGTGCATGCAGTATGCAGAAGAGATCATACGTGGCGACCCTAAGGACGAGTCTAACGTTTTTTACTGGGAGCAGGTCCGATTGAACCTGCCCGGTATGAAAACATACTCCCCTTCGGTACCATGGGTCTCCAAGGTCCGACGAATAGACTCTCAGGACTCTCCTGAAGACACAGGTTCAAAAGAAACAGACGAATCTAAATGGACTGTCGCATGGAGGGTCGCAGCCGATCTCTTCACCTTTGTCGATGACTTAAGACCAACAGGGTGCTCAAAAAGGGAGGCTTGGAAAGCAGGACGGAGAGCCGCAAGTGTTCTCAACTGGCTGGGCATCCAGGATGCAGTCAGGAAGAGGAGAGACAGCAGACAAGATCCAGGTGCCTGGGCTGGATGCGTCATCAACACCAAGTTTGGTGTGTTCACTCTTGTAAGCGATGACAAGTGGACCAAACTGAGGTCACACGTTGCAGCCTTGGACAAGATGATGAAGGACGACCCGACTAGACTCGATATGAAGAAACTCATGCAAATAAGAGGCTTTCTTAACTACGTGACCCAGACGTACAAGTCACTTGTGCCGTATCTCACCGGGATGCATCTGACAATAGATGGATGGAGACCAAATCGGGACCAGAAGGGGTGAAGATCTGATTCTAAGCGTCCAGAAACAGATGATACATACCCAGAGGCTCCTTCTCATGTCCCTGCAATGCCCAGGCTGAGTCACGACATCAGAGCATTGAAGATTCTGTGCTCCTCCTCCAAGCCCCCTCATCGACGAGTGCGGCCCTCTTGCACAGCAGCTGTGTTTTACGGGTTCGGTGACGCATCAGGAGCTGGGTTCGGAGGAACGTTGATGAAGGCTGGGTCGGACCAAGTGGATTATGAGTACGGGCAGTGGTTTAAGACGGCTACTGAGAAACTGTCGTCGAACTGGAGAGAACTAGCCAATCTGGTCTCGTTCCTCGAGCGTCGAGCAGAAACTGGAGAGTTGGCAGACAGCGAAGTCTTATTGTTCACGGACAATTCCACGGCAGAGGGTGCCTTCTGGAAAGGAACCTCAAAGAGTCGTCTGTTAATGAAGCTCGTTCTGCGCCTACGCCTCTTGGAACTAAGAAGGGGCATCACACTGCACATTGTCCATGTCAGTGGAAAGCGCATGATTGCTCAAGGCACGGACGGCATCTCACGAGGCGAACATCACACTGGTGTGATGAGAGGGATACCCATGTTGAATTATGTTCCGTTACACCGAACGTGTATGGAACGGTCGCTCGGTCTGTCTGAATGGGTCCAGGACATCCTCAGCAAAACTCGGGCATGGTTTCTCAACGAAAACGACTGGTTCAAGAAGATCGACCATGACGGTCCAGTGGTCTGGACACCTGCTCCAGCGGCGGCGGATTTGGTAGCTGAAAGGCTGCGGTCGTGCAGACACATGCGCCCGGACTCTCTCCAAATTGTGATCGTGCCACGCCTCATGACTGGGAGATGGAGAAAGCAAATGGGAAAAGCTTCCGACCGATACTTCAAGCTTACCTGCCCCGCGTGGTGGTCTCTGGAGGACCAGTACGAGCCCCTGCTAATGTTTGTTTGCCTGCCTTATCTCACTCATTCGCCAAGGTTTGAGGAACGAAGGAGTTTGGTTGACAGATTGCGAGGGCTTTTGTCAAGTTCCTACTTGCCGGAAGTGGATCACAACGACACAAGGGATCTTCTGCGCCAACTATTCAGCGACGCGTGGAAACTTCGATCCGTGTAAGAACGCTTGGTGTGGCAGCTGCTTCACTCCCTTGGGAGACACCCCTTTCCCTATCAAGGTGGTCCTCGATGACAACGGAAACAAGATCATGAAGGACAAGGACGGTGATAGGTTTTTGGTTGGACGAAACGGCGATCACATGTTGACCACTTATCAGTGTGAAGTGTGCCATTACAGAAACCTCATCGGTTCCGATCCTACTTTCTCTGTGAAAGACGCGAAGCTTTTGGAGTTCATGAGGCGAGCTAGCCTCGACGCCTTCTGGTCCCGAGAGACATCTACTGTCCGAGCAAATGTGTCCTTGTTGAAGCTAATCCAAGCCACAGAAGACGAGTTCGGTCTGGAAGGAGGAATTCTAGGCCCTCTGGGCCCCTTTCCGTTGAGAGACGTCATGGTCATGGGAGCCGCAGTAGCAATGCTTGACAAGTCAATGGACGAGGGAAGATATGACGACCAAGTGCAGTGGGCCACCATCAGACGAATCAGGGGAGCAATCACAAATTACAGTCAAGCCAGTGTGTCTGCTTTGGGAGAGGCGGTGGGCATAAATTTGAAGAACAAAACCTGGATATCTTCAGCACCGATCCACGGCATGTTTTTTGGGCGCTTTGCCACCGGATTGCACCGTCGGATGGGTGAGGTCATCAAGCGAGATGAGCCCATTACCATCGAGATGATGTTGGAAATTGAGTCCATCCTGGACGAAGAATGGTGGGAAGAGGATGCAAAACCTGCCCATCTAAAGGACTTGGATGCCCTTCGAGACATTGCCCTAGCTGGAACCTGATTCATGTGTGGTTTCTGCGCAGTGTTGTGCGGTGAAGAGCACTTAATCTTGGAGTTCATTGGGACCTACAAGAGCATGGGGTTCATGGATGCCAATGGACCCTTGGCTTTGACTTATGCTCCCCACTTCGAGCTGGTGATAGCTGGTTGCACCAAGAACAACACGGTGGTGGGAGACAAGATTCGAATACCCGTTGCTGAAAGAACGTCAGGAACTGGGTTGGTTCCTGGAGAGTGGGTGCGACGATATTGCGATCACTTGGCTCAGGTGGACCACCAGAATGGCGGCTTCTTGTTCCAAATGAGACTCACCACACCAGTGCTTGGAGAATTCGAAGAGATGTTCCACTTGACTCTGGAAAAGGTGTTTGCCCGCAAGCCCCAGCTGTTTAGAGAAGGAGTCGACATCCGAGAGGAGTTCGGAATCAGCAGATCCTTGCGTCGAGGCGTTACCGCCCATGCCATGAACCAGCAGGTTCCGGAGCGTTTGGTTCACGCCGTCAACAGATGGAGAACTGAACATGCCAGCGATGCTGGCTCCTCAGATATGCAGGATCTATACGCTAGATTGGACAAGATCAAGCCCACCGCGCTGAAATACTCTCAAGCTTTATAAGCAGAGTTCGTGGGGACTTTGTGCGGTGGGGGTCATTTGAGAAGCTCGACCGGCGCGCGTCCCTGCAAACGATGGTCGTTTGGAGGGACCGGCGTTTGAGTCATCCGGCAAAGATCGCTTTAGTGGGATCGAACCTGAATGACGTCCACATCCATCACACAACTCAGAAGCCATGCATAGGAACAACAGAGACAGGAGACGACGTGAGGTCAGGGCAAGGCAGATCAGGGAACTGATTCAGGGTCTACAAGATGAACTACGAGACCTTCACTTGGATGAAGAAGAACTGCCTACGCCAGACATGCGAGTGGAAATCACGTGGAAGGACAAGTACAGAAGAAGAAGAGGTGCTATTATTGATCGGCGAAGTGCTAATTCCGAGTTTTGGAACATCAGACTTGATCCGCTGCCTGGGTCGACCATGTCTCAAGTGATATACAAGAAGACGTCGGGTTTTCGCAGGACAAATGAGCGACAAGGACAATAGAAGGTCCAACATCGTCGCATGTGAAAGGATCAAGAGTGACAGCATCGCCGCTACCACACCAATTCTCCTTACTCCTCTCCCTCGTCCGAGGACTCATCCTCTGCGCCAGCGGCGGGAGCAGCGGCGGCGGCTGGGGCGGCTGGAACCACCACGGGAACCGGCCAGGCGACAGGGGCAACCACGTCCAAATTGAGGATGGGTCCTCCCGTCTTGATGGTAGCCACAGCCGCCTTGATGTTGCTGGTCACCTGGGCCCGAGCGTGCTCACGCCACTCGTCAGCGTTCTCCGCAGCAGCATCAGAGTCGTCGCGAAAGCGAGGGCTTTGACGATTGCGACGGTACAAGCTGTAGCGCTCATCTTCGGCCTTGCGCTTGAGGGTCTGTTCAGCGTCACGACGAAAGGATTTGGCACGCGCCTTGTTGTTCACTTCAGCAATCTGGTCAGTACCGGTTTGATTCAAAAACGGAGACAGCAAATTACACAAAGGACGATAGGTGCCATCCGCCTTCTTGATCGTCTTGGCCTGAGCCAAACGTCCAAGGACAACAGGAAGGGACGGAACTTGATGACAAAGTGAAACAGGAACGATTCGGTGTGAGACAAAAGGAAGCTGACCGGCAAAGAAGAACGACAAACGAGAGCGGCATAAACCATGGTCCCTTACCGTGGTTGTTGTTGTTGTTGTTGTTGTTGTTGTTGTTGTTGTTGTTGTTGTTGTTGTTGTTGTTGTTGTTGTTGTTGTTGTTGTTGTTGTTGTTGTTGTTGTTGTTGTTGTTGTTGTTAGCCAGTGGTCCTCAGTTTTGACGATTGTTGCCTTGTTGGTTGGATCCCCAGAGATGTACTAGTGCTGGGATGTTGTCCACGGAGGGCACCCAGCTCACGTTGTTACTGAGCTCGAAGGCCTCGAGATTGACCAGCAAGTTTGAGCCCGGGATGCTCGTAGTCGTGCGAACTGAGAGCTGCTTCACGAAGTAGGCTCGGTAGATGAGCTGGACATGCAGCACCATCACGGATGGTGCCAGTCTAGATCCGTAGGATCGATTGAGCGTGGCCTGAAGTGCTGGGGCGAGCCGCTCATGCTCCAGAAGGAAGCTCTTGTAGTCACGCACGTTGTTGTGTGTTGCTCCAAAGATGACGCCCAATATGGGGCCGAAGGCCTTCAATTGGGCCGTAGCTTCCGTCCAATCCTGTTGCATGTACCCATGTGGGTTTTTCGTTTGCCGTACGTCTGATGCGCTGATGCTGTTGCTGACAGGATCACCACTCATGTCGTATTGGTTGGCCCGGGCAGTGTCTTCTGCCAACTGTTTTTGTCCTACCAGTGACATAGCTCCAGGTGGCGTCACTGTGAAAGGGAGTAGGCCAGTTCCTATGGAGTGGAAGGCGTCACTTTGAAACTTCCACGCTTTGAACGGGATCTTGTGTTGTGGTGAGATGAGCGGTGCATTGAAACCCATCTGGCCAGCCACTGTGTCCGTCTCATGCTGTAACAACATGCGTTCTGACGTCCCTTGTGTCCGTGCCGCCAATTCGTGGTAGATTGGTGGGAGTTCTTCGTCCGTCTGGGCTCCAGTGAGTAGCAACAGGCGGTCGGTCACTTGCTCTTTGAATTTCTCTCGGACTTCTTTCGGACGGGAATTCCTTTCCAATCAGGAGGCCCGCCAGTTTGAAGGGCACAAACATGGCCTTTCGGACTCGAGTGGTTTGCGTGTTTGCGTCGTTGGCGGTGTACAGTCCCAGTAGATTTATCACTGCGTCATTGTTCAGGGCTTCTATGTGCCTTTGGGGTGCGGCACATATGATGGTCTGGAGCGTCATGTCTAGTTGTGTTTCTTGAAAGGCAATGGTCTGAATGTCCACGCCCACCAGTTCGTTTACGTAGCAGAAAGTTTGTTGTCTCTCTGGTGCAGCAGCACTGGGAATGAAAAACTCTGCAGAAACGCCCTTTTTGAGTCCGCAGAAACACTTTTTTTCCTGAAGCAGGCTGGCGTGCACTCTGCAGAAGCCCTCGAACTCTGCAGTTCCGAAAGCCGGCATAGCTTTTTCTGCCGGGAGGTGTTTTTTTTCTGCCAGGAGGGTGTTTTTCTCTGGCAGGTGACTTTTTTTCTGCCAAAAGCACCTGAAAACTGCACAGAATGGCTCGCAGAGTCGATTCATTGTTTGGCAGAAGGATTTTCTGGAGCAATTATCGTTTGCAGCTTGACAATTACTTAGAGATGGATACAAGGCAGGCGTGGCGAAACTAGCAGCAAATAAATAGCCAGTCTCTTTTTGAAATCTCAAGGCTGCGATGACATCAATAACATTTAATGCCACGGCACACTTTGGACCTAAGCCCTAACGTCTCTCCTGCAAAATGAGAACCCCCATTAACTGTCTCATTAACCCAGACTCTAAAACGAGACCCCATTATGATGTCGAGGAATACATTAACCCACACTCTAAATCAAATCGAATTCGAACCTATTCGATTAAGATCGACTCAGTCCCACCAACACCAGCATATTTCAAAAGCACGAGTCACAGTGATGACGTGGACCCTGTTGACTTCGAAGAACATCCTGTCTAGTGGAATGGACTTGTCATATTCAGATAATGCATCATTGGAGAACTCTTCTAATTCAAAGGTGTTGGTAAAGAGTGTTCTGCCTTTCTTGGGGTCTCTAGTTGGGGTTGTTCCTCTGGGAGGTCCTCTACTGCCTCTCTTGGAGGATGTTGGGATAGATGACATCTTGGAGTTCAGAGGAGTCTTGGAGTTAACTGAAACTATGGGTTGTGAAGACATTGAGAGGGTCAAGTATCAGCAGCCTTGGACGCCTACAGGGGCCTGAATCTTGGACACCAACAGGGGCCTGAACCTTGAACACCAACAGGGGCCTGATTGCTGCTGTACACCAAGATAGATCAAGGTGGTACACTTGGTCAATGACTTGAAGGGGCTTGGAGGTTTGTCTCAAAGATAAGGGCAAGAGACTTAGGGGAATGTTCCAGAGATATAAGGGCAAGAGACTTAGGGGAATGTTCCAGAGATATAAGGGGATGAAGACTTAGAGGAAGTGTTTCGGAGATATAAGGGACAGAAGACTTAGGGGAAGTGTTTCGAAGATATAAGCGACAGGAGATTTAGAAGGGATGTTTCGAAGATTTAGGAGGTTGGCTGTTGGTGGGATTGTTTGTTCAAGAGTTTGATGCTTGCCCGATTGTAATAGGATTTCAATGAGGGAGAGCTCCAAGTTCTTGACGATGCAATACAACTGCCGAGTCGATGGCTTGATCGGTTCGGTTTGCCGTGGAGGTGCGTGTTGGTCGGAAGAGTGGGAGTCGGACAGGGACGTGGATCTTGTTGTACAGCAATAATTGAGCTGACGACCTGTTGCTATGGTATTGCAAAGGATTTTCCGCTCGATTAACGCTCGACAATGAGAATGAGTGCCTTGTCTCAGTCGTCTTGGATTGCCTTGTGAGAAACTTGTTGTTGCTGTCAGATCCAGTGCCTGACCCGTTTCTATGGTAGGGAGTGGGATTGGGGACTGATTCTCGTAGCAGCAAAGAGTGTCTTGTTGGGAGGAGTGGACAGTTTGGTTGGTTGGTCGGTAGTGCTTTCGTGTTGTGGTTGGTTGGTGTTGTGGGTGTGATTGCGATTTTCGAAGACGATCTTCCTGTAGAAACTGTACCAGGTTCTACACGGAATGACTGGTATTTTCTGATACAACAATCACGATCGTTGTGGCCGTTCGGCCCCGTAGAGGGCTTTCTGCAGTTGCTGAGAGGCTCCAATGGGACCGGCAGTGTTAATAAGCTTGTTGTTCTTGTCTGTTTGGTGTTTTCGAGCTACTGATGATAGTGTATCAAGTTGGCCGTTGGCCATGGTCGATCCTTTTTCGATCGAGTGGTTTATGGAGTTTTCTTTGGTTGTGATTAGTTTTACGTAGGTTTCTACACGATTTGAGTACTGGGTCATAATAAAAGTCTTTTCGATAAAGCCAACGCTGGAATTATATCATCGAGAGGTCACCATACTTCCTTTGCTCAACGATGGTGAGCAGGAATGATTCAATCCATTCGATGAAATTAGCAATAGGAGCCTCTATGGGTGCGCCACAGCTGTGCTGGTTTAGTCGGATGGAAACAATGCTTTTCATCGTGTACAGTCAATCAGTACACACAGCATTGCAGCCATGTG